GTGGGTTATTGTAGCCCAACCCATGGCCAGATTGGACAGATCAGCTGTTCCAGTGGTGCAGGACCAGGGCACCCACAGCAGCTCTGTCCCTGTGTTCAGACTGGAGCTCAGGGGAAGCTCTSCTGACCAGCAATGTTTAACAAGCAATTCCTCTCTTTTTCAGGCTGCAGAACTTGCCCTTTGCTCTGACAAACCTGAACCTGAAAGCTTTGTGGCTGGCAGAAAACCAATCCCAGCCCATGCTGAAATTCCAGACCGAGGACGATGAGAAGACAGGAGAGAAGGTTCTCACGTGCTACCTGCTGCCCCAGCAGCCCTCTCCCAGCCTGGGTAAGAGTCTGCATGGCAGGCACTGAGTGCAGTTTTATGCTTTGGGGGGGCTGAGACCTCTCTGCTGTGTTTGATTGTCCCTGGAGCAGCTACAGCCTCTTGTGTGGCTGGGACACCTTTCATGCAGTCATTGTTCAAATTGAGGAATTGCTTCTCTGCCAGCTGATAAGGAATCTTTATCTGCATCTTTATCTGAGTGCTCTGCTTGGATCTGCTGACCAAGCCATTCATTTTCATTGTCTGTCACCATTCCTGCCTTACTTCTACCCTTTTCCTTACTTCTTGGGTAAGAAGTGTTAGAGCTGAATAGAGGCTGCTGGAGATGTGGTGGGAGATGTGCAGAAGGTCAGAGGATGCTGAGGCCACAGCTTTAACTGATGCCATGGGCAGATAAAACAGCAGTGCCCTAATGGGATGAGAACTTCCCTCTAAAACCCTGAAAGGAGCTCCCTCTGTGCTCTCTTCTCCCCAGAGAACCTCCTGCAGAACAGCGTGGATGAGAGCTGGACAGACACCAACCTGAACAGAGTCAGTGTGATCCAGTTCCTGGATGAGCCCAAAGGAGATGACGATGAGGAGGCTGGAGCTGAGAGACGAGTAAGGARTTCCTGCAGGGTGGTGGTGCCTGGAAGCACGGGGATAAGCCAGGCTTTGCAAGGATGGGGAGCTGCTCTGGTGTCCATGGTTCATTCACCTGGGACACTGTGCAGGATTTTCACACTCTGAAAGGTGTTCAGTGCCCTGAGGAGAGAAAGGAATGAATTCCCTGGGAGCTGCTGTGGTGTCCATGGTTCATTCACCTGGGACACTGCAGGATTTCCACAGTCTGAAGGGTTTTTGGTGCCCTGAGGAGCACAGCAGGAGAGAAAGGAGCTGCTATGGGGATGGGGATCTGCTGTGGGGTGTCCATGTTTCATTCACCTGGGACACTGCAGGATTTTCACAGTCTGAAAGGTGTTTTGTGCCCTGAGGAGAGAAAGGAATGAATTCCCTGGGAGCTGCTGTGGTGTCCATGGTTCATTCACCTGGGACACTGCAGAATTTTCACACTCTGAAGGGTTTTTGGTGCCCTGAGGAGCACAGCAGGAGAGAAAGGAGCTGCTGTGGGGATGGGGAGCTGCTCTGGTGTCCATGGTTCATTCACCTGGGACACTGTGCAGGATTTTCACAGTCTGAAGGGTTTTTGGTGCCCTGAGGAGCACAGCAGGAGAGAAAGGAGCTGCCATGGGGATGGGGAGCTGCTCTGGTGTCCATGGTTCATTCACCTGGGACACTGTGCAGGCATTTGCAAGATTTTCACAGTCTGAAAGGTGTTTGGTGCCCTGAGGAGTGAAATGAATGAATTCCCTGGAAGCTGCTGTGGTGTCCATGGTTCATTCACCTGGGACACTGCAAGATTTCCACAGTCTGAAGGGTGTTGGGTGCCATGAGGAGAGAAAGGAATGAATTCCCTGGGAGCTGTTGTGGGGTGTCCATGTTTCATTCACCTGGGACACTGTGCAGGATTTTCACAGTCTGAAAGGTGTTTGGTGCCCTGAGGAGTGAAAGGAATGAATTCCCTGGGAGCTGCT